TTTGGAATCCAAAAAGAAAGAAATGAATTAGATAAAATTATAATGCAATCAGACGATAAATTAATAACTAAAATATATAATTATCTATTAAAATACAAATTGGAAGAAGAAGTGGTGAAGGAAAATATGATTATTTGGGCTAAAAATTTTGGATATAATATTAACTTAGAAAATTGGGAGAAAATGTGGAAAGTAAATACTAAGCTGACAATGTCTGTGCCCTACAAAGAAAATACATACAAGATGTTCTATAGGTGGCATCTCCTCCCTGCACGTCTGGCAAGGATGTTCCCCAATACTAATCAGAACTGTTGGAAGTGTAGAACACATAAGGGGACTTACTACCACATGTGGTGGCCATGCCCAAAGGTTAAAAAATTTTGGAAAACAATTCAACATCAGCTGGAAGAAATTACCACCCAGAAAGTGCCCCATCGACCGGAAACATACTTATTAGGAATACTGACAAAGGACTATAAAAAAGAGACACAATATTTGATAATACACATTCTGACTGCAGCTAGAATCACTTTCGCACAAATGTGGAAACTGGATGATACGCCATCAGAGGAAAAAATAATACAAAAAACAATGGAATGTGCAGAAATGGACAAACTTACCAAAGAAATACAGGGAAAAGAAGACTCAGATTACTACTTAATTTGGCAAAAATGGCACAATTGGTTAGATAAAAAGAACACGAAATAAGGGAATACCACCCAAGGATACAAAAATAAGGACATAAAATGAAATATCGTTATACACACATTGTTATATGATGAAGGATAAATATACATAGATACATAGATATATAAACTACCGAAGTAGCTCTATTTTCAAAGTTCAAGTTGTATGACTTGATTTTACTGTATAGTTAGTTTATGTATAGTTTGTTTAAATGTCTACGTCTGTATATATATGTTTGTTTATTATTAACAAAAAATAAATAAATAAACAGTTCATTTGATAGCTTCAGCTTTGCATTTGATAGCATTTGATAGCTTCAGCTTTGATAGCATTGTATGCACCAAATGAAAAGCAGGAAGAATTTTATCGTCGATTGCACAGTAAAATTATAGCATTGAACTATGAAAATGTATGTATAATGGATGATTTTAATGCCATTACAGACCCAGATTTGGACTATAAAACTCTGAAGACAAATAAAAAAACTAGAAGAACATTACCAAAATCCTTTTTTACAATGATAGAAGAATTAAGTATCCAAGATATTTGGAGACAAAAACATTTGAAGGAGAGTCAATATACTTTTATTCAAATAGACATCAATCATGGTCAAGGATAGATATGGTATGGATGTCAACTGGACTTATAGAAGAGGTGCAAGAAGTGAATATTGGTTCAAATATTTGGGCTGACAATAGTCCGATGACAATAGTATGGAAAGGGAAAAAGAAAAAGACAAGATGGACTTTGAATACAACAATATTAAATGAAAAAGAATTCCAGGAATTTGTGGGAAAGGAATTGGACATTTTTTAAAAATTAAATAAAAAGGAAGATACATCATTCCAAAATGTACGGGACACAATGAAAGCATATATTAGAGGACTGGCAAAAACATATTTGGGGAAAAAGAACAAAACAAAATGGCAGAAACAAGTAAGATTGGAAGAAGAATATAAAAGCTTGGAAAAAAAGTTTCAGAAAGATGAAAATAAAAAATAAAAAAAAATAAAAAAATGATAGAACTGAAGAAGCATGAAATAATCTTAAATGAACAAGAATCATTAGCAAACCAATTGAGAACATCAAAACAGATTTTTTTTTGAAAATGCAAACAAACCAGGAAGATGGCTAGCATATAAACTAAGAAAAGAAAAAGAGAAAAAAGTTATAAAATATCTACAAGAAGAAGGGAAATTACAATATAGAACTGAAAAAAAAAAAAGAAAGTAATCCAAGAATATTATGAAAAACTCTATTCACAGGAAAAGATCCCCGAGGAGGAGATACAAAACTATCTGGAAAAATCAGATTTAATTAAAATATCAGAACAATTTAAAGGAATGTTAGATGAAAGAATAACAATGATGGAATTAACAGAAGCAATAAAAAGACAAAAGAATGGAAAAGCGTCTGGACCAGATGGCTTACCAGCCGAGTTGTGTAAAACATTGGAAGAAGTTATTAGTAATGTAATGTTGGACTTATTTAATGAATTGTTATTAGAGGCTAAAATGCCAGATTCATGGAAAGAGGCATATGTGACACGCATACCTAAAGAAGATACAGATTTACAATTGATTAAAAATTATAGACCAATCTCATTATTAAATATAGATTACAAGATTTTTGCTTCAATAATGGCAAACAGGTTGAAAAAACTGCTAAACGAATATATCCACAGTGATCAAAATGGATTCTTACCAAAAAGGCAAATTAGAGATAACATGAGGATGATTTTGAATACCTTGGATTATTATGAGACTCACCCAGAAAAACAAATGGCGTAGATGTTTCTAGATGCACAAAAAGCTTTTGATAATATGAACTGGCAGTTGATGATAAAGCAATTACAGAGAATGGATTTTGGGGAGAGATTCATAAACACTATAAAAACAATATATGACAATTTGCCAAGATAATGATGAACGGAGAAATGACAGGAACGATTAATATAATGAAGGGCACCAGGCAAGGATGCCCTTTATCACCATTATTGTTTATTTTGACTCTAGAAGTATTAAACAGGAACATTAGACGGAGTGATGAGATAAAAGGAATGAAAGTCAAAAAAGAGGAATATAAATTACAAACGTTTGCCGATGACTTAGTTTTTATTATAGAGGAACCACAAATAACAGGCCTTAAATTACTAGAACAGATAGAAGGTTATGGAAAAGTATCTGGTTTGAAAATAAACAAAGACAAAACAAAAATGTTGGTGAAGAATACAACAGAAAAACAAAATAGAGAGATAAAAGAAAATCTAGACATACAAGTGGTGAAAAAAGTGAAATATCAAATTGTGCAACAATAAAAGAAGAAAACTACTATAAGTTAAAGCAACAAATTGAAAAAGACTTGGAAAAATGGAAGAATCTTCAACTATCACTTATGGGTCGGATTGCACTGATAAAGATGAATATATTACCAAGACTATTATTTTCATTCCAAACTGTGCCAATAAAAATTGAAAAGACTTACTTTCAATATCTTAATAAGATCATAAGGAAATTTATATGACAAAGGAAAAAAGTAAGAATAAGTTTAAGAATGTTGCAAAACACAAGATTACGAGGGGGATTTGGTTTACCAAATTGGGAATTATATTATCAGGCAGCAGTATTGACATGGTTGAAAGAATAAATTGAATTAAGAAATACAAAGTTGTTAACACTGGGCATGATTTACAACTGGGATGGCATGTCTTTTTATGGCATGGTAGAAGTAAGATACACACATACTTTCATAGACATTATGTAAGAAATGCATTGTTATTGGTATGGGAGAAGGTTAGAGATAAATTTTATGTGAAAATACCAACATAGTTATCAATAATGGAAGCTTTCATACACCCAAATGTCTTTAATTCTGGAAATATTGTTAGATATAATGAGTTATTAACAGACAAGGGGGAACTGAAAGAGAAACGAGAATTGGAATAACAGGGAATTGAGATAGATTGATACATGTACAGTATATGCAGATAAGGTCAAGATATGAAAAAGATGCTAAACTATATGGTTTTTATATGGAAAAGACTGAACTGGATAAGATACTCATGGGAACAGAGGAAAACTTAATAAAAATGTTTTATAATTTTTTGTTGTATATTGAATTGGAGGAGGAGCAAGTAAAAGAAACGATGATGGCCTGGGGTAGAAATTTTGGTTATCTAATTGAGTTTGAAAAATGGCAACTACTATGGGAAAGGAACTATAAATTAACAATGTCCACAGCATATAAGGAAAATCAATATAAAATGTTTTATAGATGGCATATGCCACTGGAGAAGTTAGCAAAAATGTTTAAAGATAAATCAGCTAAGTGCTGGAAATGTCATCAAACACCAGGATCTTATTACCATATGTGGTGGACTTGTCCCAAAGCAAAAAATTACTGGTACAAGATTAAAATCTGGCTGGAAGAAATGATACAACAACCTATTGAATTTAAACCAGAGTTGTTCCTACTGGGTATCTTTCCAGAAAAAATGAGTAAGGAAAATGTATATTTGATTATACATGTAGTAACAGCTGCAAGAATTGTGTATGCTCAAAATTGGAAATAAGAGAAAATACTGTTGGAAGAAGAAGTAATAAAAAAAATTTTAGACTGTGCAGAAATGAATAGACTAACTTTGCTGATTAGAGATAAGGAGGAATCAGAATATTTTAAAACATGGAATTATTTTTATAGTTGGTTGGAAAAGAGATACACTGTAAATGACTGATACTATAATTGTGTACAAATGATGATTATAATATTGATTTAGAAATGAAATGTTAGAATAGTTTGGATGAATATGAAGATAGAAGAAACTTATGGAAGATGGAGAAGAAGCCTAGAAGAAAACACAGAGGTGTCAGGGAGGATTGATATATTAAATGTTTGTTTGTCTTAAAAAATAAAAATTAAAAAAAAATTACCAAAAAAAAAAGTGGGGGCAAGGCCCAGGGCAAGATATAAATAACCCTCATTCTCAACTCCATGTGGTCAGCTGTCCAGAACCACCCATGTGCTTCTGCTTCACCATTAAACCCTCTTTCCAATCAGCCTCATATTTCCAGTGTCTTTCACCCAGCTTGGAACTGAACTAGATAGATATATCTTCCAACAGGAGCATGTTTTCCTGTGTCAAATATCCCCACTGTCTGTTCAGAGTTAAAATTGTTCATGCTGCTATTCTGATCCGATCAAGCAAAAAGTAATATTTACTTATCTAAAAGGTCTCTCATTTTTTACAGAGAGAAGCATATAAATGTTTGTGGAGCTATGGCAGAATGATAATGGTTATCTACAGCAAATCTAACCTGAGGAACTTTGTAGACGCACAGCACAGTTGCCATGTGAAGAGAGATGTCAGGTGCCCCAATGACTGCAGCCAAGGTATTTGGGACCCCACACTTGTAGTTAGGGATGAATTTGCCCTGAGTAAAAGGCAGCAACATTGAGGCAAAGTAAGTCCAGCTTGGACTAAAATTGCTGTTAAAAATGTGGAAGCCCAGCGTGATGTTGGGTAAGATTTGGGGATTTTCATTGATCTCTTTTACAGTAAACACTAAAGCCAGGATATGCTGGTAATTCTGAAAAATTATTCTGTAAAACAGAATTAAAAACAGCACATTAAGAAAGGCCTGTTTCACATTATGGCACTTACAATCCTTTAGTACAACACATTTTGTGGAATGTGTGAAATAGTTCTTATTTCTATGTTTCTGTATGTGGGAATGGGCCGCTATCAAACTGCAGCTTTTCAGAATGGCTTAGATGCAAATGGAAATTGCTACATTTTGGTACCACAAATAAAGAATGAGAAAACTTATCATGGGAAATATGTGCTTTCCCTTCCTTAATGGTAGTAACAATGGCATATATAAAGACATACATACCTATATATTAATACATATTAAGATGTGATTTGTTATAAATGGAAATTTTATCTCTATTCCAACTATTCCTTTCTTTCTTTTTTTTAATAATTTTTATTTAACATTTACATCTTTAACATCCTTGTTACATTTTTACAGCTTTCCGATACTGGCAATTTTGATAATGTCTATTTTATCTTTTAACCAACAATGTACACATACATTTTAAATATTACTTACTAATTTCTATATTCATTACAATTTTTTTTTACACTTTATACCTATCTATTACACAATAACTATTTTACTCCTTTCTTACGTTTATACATTTATACATTAATTTTGGATTCTTTCTCCAACCAGTTATACCATCTATTCCATGTCTCATAATAAATCGTTTCCTCTCGGTCTTTTTGTTCCATTGTTAATTTATCTGCTTCTGCACCTTTTTTATGATCATCGTATTTGATGGAGCAAATCTGTGTTTCCAATTTTGGGCAAATGAAATTCTGGCGGCTGTAATTATGTGAAGTATAAGGTAATAAATTTCTTTCCTAAACTTCTCTTTTATAATTCCCAATAAAAAAATAGTTTGGGTTTCATAGCAATTTTTCCCCTGTCATTTCCTCTAACCATTTTTGGATTTTTAACCAATATGCCTTCGCTTTGGGACATGTCCACCACATGTGAAAATATGTCTCATGTTGATGATTGCATTTCCAACAATTTGGTGCATTTTGGGGGGCTATCTTGGCCAATCTCGCTGGGGGTAAATGCCACCTATGAAACATTTTGTAAATATTTTCTTTATAGGTGGCTGACAACAACATCTTATAATTTGTTCCATTTTGAATTGAAGGAGGCATTTATATATTTTGGTAATTATTTTCTCATCAGTCCCAGTTAATATTTTATCCATTTCTTGTTGGTCAGTTTGGAATCCATATAGTTCTAATTCTTTTTTGTATTTTGCTTGTATTTGTAGATAGGGCCACCAATCAATTTTAATTCCTTCATCCAATAAGTTTTGTCTAGATTTTAAATTCCCTAGTCCATCTAATAATTCCTTATATGTTACTATTTTATTAAGGTCAATCAAATTAGGGTAGACCAAGGCTTCCATTGTTGATACCCATCTTGGGATTTTTGGATAGAAGTTCCTTTTAATTTTCATCCAAGTTTCTAATAATACTTCCCTCACTTGATGACTCTGGAAATATTTATGGGCTTTGTCTTTCCCATCCAAAATAAAGGTATGCCAACCTTTCTGCAAGTCACGACCCTCAATTGTTAAAATTCTTCCATTCTTTAGATTTATCCATTCCCTGAGCCATGGCACTACTGCTGCCTGATGGTACAGTTCCCAATCTGTGAGGCCAAAGCCACCCTTACTTCCAACTATTTCCACGTTCCCTGAAACTGAAGTAAAATATAACATTAGATAAAATAAACCTAGGTATCCTATTTTAGATGTTTCTATCAGGAATTTTTCCCATTAGAGGAAAATATTTCAAGCATCATATGATTTATCAGCAACGTTCAGAGTTTGACAATAAATTAATGATATACATACATAAGTCCATCTTGAAATCCCTGAGAAGGATCTTGACTGAAATCAATGGGATCAGAATATGTTGAGAATACAGAAATAATGCCAGCAATGTTAATGTCTCCAAGCTGATGATAGGTGTGCTGAATAGGAAGAGGCTCCTGAAAGTCGCATTGAAGGCTCAGATTCTTGCACATCACTTCAGGCAATACTATTAACAGTAACTCCATGAATACTAACATCTTCCACAAGTTTCTTCTTTCTGTGTAAAAATGCCTCTATCTGCTCCAAGATCTTTGAAGTAGACCAGACAGATCTCCTAGAGATGTTTTTCAAGCAAAACTAGGGAGTGCAACATATGAACAAATCAACTGACAGAACTTTGGGCCTCCCAGCCATGGGTTGGAATTGGATGGGACACTAAATACCATGATTCAGTGTCAGTTGCTCCTATTTTCATGGAGTCCCATAGGATTTTGAAGAGACAAACTGGCTAATTTCATAATGATAGTGAGACAGTCACATATGTGAACAACTTCAAAACATGTGAGGACTTGTAGAGGCAGGAACACATGAACAACAAGACAAAAAATAAAATCATTAGATTGACAAAGAGAAATAGAGATGTAAATATATGTATGTGTAAAGGCATTACTATAATTCTGTTCTATTCCATTCCATTCTGTTCCAAAGAGAAATAGAGATGTAAATATATGTATGTGTAAAGGCATTACTGTAATTCTATTCTATTCTATTCTATTCTATTCTATTCTATTCTATTCTATTCTATTCTATTCTATTCTATTCTATTCTTCTCCCGTCCTGTCCAGTCCCGTCCCGTCCCGTCCCGTCCCGTCCCGTCCCGTCCCGTCCCGTCCCATCCCATCCCATCCCATCCCATCCCATCCCATCCCATCCTATCCTATCCTATCCTATCCTATCCTATCCTATCCTATCCTATCCTATCCTATCCTATCCTAACCCTTCCATTCTTACACTACACTACACCACATTCTCTACCCCACTGAACTCTACTCAATTCCAGCTTATTTTATGCAATTATTTGTGGGTTTTCATGGAATACATTTTCATCATGGGTTGATTGCGTCACTTTTTTAAATGTATTGTTATTTTTTTGATATAGTCATTGGTATTTTCATTATTGATTCTTGTACATTATCAATGTTTTTTTTTTTCTGGGGACTCATAGGAAGACATGTGAAACATCACATTAAAGGCATTACTGTAATTCTATTCTATTCTATTCTATTCTATTCTATTCTATTCTATTCTATTCTATTCTATTCTATTCTATTCTATTCTATTCTTCTCTTGTTCAGTCTAGTCCAGTCCAGTCTAGTCCAGTCCAGTCCAGTCCTGTCCTCTCCCGTCCCATCCCACCCATCCCATCCCCCCACCCCACCCCACCCCACCCCACCCCACCCCATCCCATCCCATCCCATCCTATCCTATCCTATCCTATCCTATCCTATCCTATCCATACTTACACTACACCACACCACATTCTCCACCCCACTGCACTCCAACTCTTGTCCAACTAAGAGTGCCTTCAATTTATTTCATTCATGAGTTCAGGATGAGATTGAGCAAAATATCCTATGGGTGCAATATAAAGAAAAAAAAGGACACATGTTTGCATCATACAGATAACAAAGTGGGGAAAGATATAAATTCCAAGTTCCTACAATCCATTAGACTACAAAATATTGAACCGGTCAAGATCAAACTACTGGCGGTTGGCAGAATTAGCCTCCAGTACTACATTCTACTCACTGTGCCACCACAGTTCAATGATGCCTCACTTAATGATTGCATCACTTAATAATGAATATTGGGGTCCCAACTGTGGTTGTATGTAGACAGCTACCTGAAGTTTTAGATCATGTTGACAAATGTCTCAGCTCACCACTAGAGGGCAGGGAACGGGCCACAAAATCTGTCTTCTTCAAAGCCAGAAAGAAAGTTTGCAGGTGTGGGAAAGGGAGGGGGAGGATGGGGGGGGGAGAAACAAGTGAATAAAAGCAAATTTCCGAGACACTATGGCATACCAATTCCCAATTTATGTTCTGGTCCCTGCAATTTTATACATCTGATTTCTAGGGTTGGTTGACAGTTCCTATAACATTCACAGCAATCATAGTTTCTTTAACTCCTAACAAGGAAGAAATGCTCACGAAAGTCATGGATCAAACTTTATTTTATGTCTATTTATTTAGAAGCATGTATATAGTGCCTACACGCCAGACTTTAAACTTCTTAAGAGGTATCACAAAAGAAACAAAGACATTGGACATTGGTGGAAGAAGATAAGAAAACATTCTGGAGGCATTTTTTGGAAAATAAAAATGAAGGATGGCTGGAGTCTCATGGTTTTGTTTGGATGGTATAAGGGAAAAACAGTCAAGGTAAGTAGAACTTGAGTGGTGTTATTTATTTATTTATCAAATTTATATACCCACCTATCTCATTTTCCTGTGATTCTGGGAAATGTACATAATTAAAACATGTCAGATCATCACCATAATTAATTGATGAGTATTAATGCATAAATAGGAGGAGGATGCACTGGCTCAGTAGCTAAGATGCTGAGCTTGTTGATCTAAAGGTCGGCAGTTCAGCAGTTCGAATCCCTAGTGCTGCATAACGGGGTGAGCTCCTGTTACTTATCCCAGCTTCTGCCAACCTAACAGTTTGAAAGCATGTAAAAAATGCAAGTAGAAAAATAGGGACCATCTTTGGTGGGAAGGTAACAGCATTCCGTATGCGTTTGGTGTTTAGTCATGCTGGCCACATGGCCATGGAGATGTCATTGGACGGTGCTGGTTTTTCAGTTTGAAATGAAGATGACCATCGCCCCCTAGAGTCGGTAACGACTAGCACATATGTGCAAGGTGAACCTTTACCTTTACCTTTAGGAGGAGGAAGAAGTATGAGGATTGTTCTCCATCTTGAGTTTGAAAGATGGAGATCTGAATAAATTAAATAATAATAATGGGACAGTGAAGAAGATGCACTAAAGTTAACATATTAGGAAGACCTAATGAGTACTGGAGAGACCAAAATGGACTACAAGAAAAACCGAATGAAAACCTAAAAAGAGACATGGAAAGAGAAAGCATTGCATGGTCATTGCATTAAAACAAATATCAGGGTAACAGATAATAGCATTACATGGAATGACTATGAGAAGGAAAATTGGAGAAAGAGGTAGAAGTGCTAATTCTGGCTGCAAAAAACATTGGCGCTGATAAATTTCTCATCAGCCAATTGCAAAAGGCAGCTTTACTTGGAGCAGCTTACATTTGGTGATGATAACTATAACACCATGCAATATCTAAATCTGTCTATGCCTGGTCTTTGGGAAGGATTTGATATGTTTGTTTGTTTGTTTGTTTGTTTGTTTGTTTGTTTGTTTGTTTTATTGGATTTATATACCGCCCTACTCCCAAAGGACTCAGGGCGGTGAACAGCCACAGAATAAAACACATAAATACAAAAATTTAAAATAGAATAAAAATGAATTAAATAATTTGGCTGAGACGAATTTAAAATACCCAATAATTTAAAAACAAATCAAAATTTACATTTAAAAGGGGAAAAGATACGTAAATAAAAATGCCAAATCCAATCTGAACATCTGGTTGTTCTGCGACAAAACATAATAATCCCCAGTGAGGCAGTTCTTCACTGCATAAACAGAGGGATAGAATCAAGATCATGTGAAATGTTAATACTGCTTTATAATGCCTTGGTAAGGCCACACTTGGAATACTGCATTCAGTTTTGTTCGCCACTATGTAAAAAAGATGTGGAGTGTTAAGTCCTCGCAGTTCCGACTTCCCCAAACCTGCCCTGTTGCTACTCGGCTCTGATTGGCTAAGACATGAGCAGCCAAATAGCAGGAAAACGCAGCACTCCTATTGGTTCCTCCCATCTGACAGCTCCCTATTTAAGCAGTTGTCAGACGGCAACAAGTTGTCAATGTGTTCGCTCGCGCGCAGTTGCCTTATTCTGTGAGTTAATGTTCTGTTAGAAATAAAGCATTGTTGTTACCTAAGCCAAACCTCCGTTATACCTGCCTAGTTCTCCATATAGAACAGGAGATTGTAGAAAGAGTGCAGAGAAGAGCAACAAAGATGATTAGGGGACTGGAGACTAAAACATATGAAGAACGGTTGCAGGAACTGGGTATGTCTAGTTTAATGAAAAAAAGGACTAGGGGAGACATGATAGCAGTGTTCCAATATCTTAGGGGCTGCCACAAAGACGAGGGAGTCAAACTATTCTCCAAAGGACCTGAGGGTAGAACAAGAAGCAATGGGTGGAAACCAATCAAGGAGAGAAGCAACTTAGAACTAAGGAGAAATTTCCTGACAGTTAGAACAATTAATCAGTGGAACAACTTGCCTCCAGAAGTTCTAAATGCTCCAACACTGGAAGTTTTTAAGAAGAGATTAGATAACCATTTGTCTGAAGTGGTGTAGGGTTTCCTGCCTGAGTAAAGGGTTGGGCTAGAAGACCTCCAAGGTCCCTTCTAACTTTGTTAAATTAAAATTAAATGAATTTACAAGAAACATTTTTGTGCCAGAGATTTCTTTGGTCTTTGCTATTGAGAAGAAGACATATGGCCAGCTTTTAACTTAACCCCATGTTTTGTAGATTATGACTACACATGGTATGCATCAGAACAGAATAGAATAGAATTCTTTATTGCCCAAGTGTGATTGGACACACAAGAAATTTGTCTTTGATGCATATGCACTCAGTGTACATAAAAGAAAAGATACATTTGTGAAGAATAATAAGGTACAACACTTAATGATAGTCATAGGAAAACAATTAATATAAATCTTAAGGATATCAGCAACAGATTTGTCAGGGCATTTATTAATCCCATGTTTGGCTCTGGGACTAATTACCCTTGTTTAGAGGAGATGAATCGAGGCTTATTCCAAGTTGCAATAATCTGAAAAGAAACGCGAGGAAAAGTTTCTAATAAAACTCATTTATTTGTTATAAAGAAAATAAAACACCTCACTAACTAAGAAAAGTTAATTGCTACATTTTTGAAAGTAATTCGGGCCAGCTGCCTTTCAGCAACCGGCACCCGTGGCAAGAGAACAAAGGAAAGAGTGTGAAGGAATGGAATGTGGGTGGATGGACATGCGTAATAGCTTTTGATAACAATTCTTGGCAAGGTACGGAGAGT